CAATAGAGTTACAGAAAAGTGAATGGCTCTTTTGGTGCACTGTAGCACCTTACAATAATTTTTTTGACACGCTGTTACTTGCCGCAGAAGATTTTTTTGGCGCCCAATTTGAAAAACCGTCTTTTACGAGCGGTCAGCAACAGCCAGGTCGCGTTAGTAAAAGACGCTACATTTCGCCACTGTTTTAGGAGGTCAGTAGTCTGAGATGCATANTCGATTCGGTAGCCGGTCGCCGCCGCCGGCTGCAGTGAAGTGAAGTGGAAAGTGGTTGCTTCGAAAATCGAACCATTTTTCTCCTGTTCTTTTTTCTTGTGTAATCTCCGTGATTACCTGCGGCGGCGGCTAACCGACTGATCGCCTTTCACTGATCCCCTTGAAAGTCACCTAGGTGACACAACTAGGAGACACCTGCTGAAGACATGTCCATTTGATCATCCGAGAGCATCTAAAACTGCTATTCCTTTTCCACTTAATTTTCTCAGCGACCATGTGATTACATCATGGGCTGTAAAAACTGGTGTCTGCTGTCAGTTGCCTACCATCACCACCACCACCACCAGCAGTGGTTGTTTTTAAGAGAGAGACACAACTTTCCGAGAGTAAACTGCGCACAAAATGCAAAGGAGCATTGAACAGCTGAGCCTACGCTGCTGGTTGTACGACGCAAACAACAATGAACTCATCGAGAGGATGACGGGCACTATCTTTTCTCAGTGACACTAGATCTTCTTCTTCTTTAGGCGACTCACGAGGTTCGTCAGTAGGTTCAGTAGCTGCAAAGTGGCTCCTGTTTCGGGTAACGCCAACAGCAGTGTTTTGCCCGTTCGGCGTTGTTGGTGGCAAAAATACCAGACCTACTTGTAGCGGCGGCGGTGTCTTTGCCAGCCCGCAGATCACACAGATCACACCGATTGTAGTCACGGGACGCTGGTGCACCTTTAGATCTGGTGGTTAAAGAAGAGGGAGAAATGCTGTAGTCAGTGTCTGTCCGTGTTCTATCTGCCTCAACAACGTAAGAGCGCCGTGAAGAGCTCTCCAAGAGCGCAAGCTCACACAGTGCACGGCGGCAGCAGCAGCAGCGGCAGCAGTGACAGTTGTGACGGCGTACGATGTTGTTCTAGTGAGCTCGGCAGACAGAGCAAGCAAGCGAGAGCGATCAGCGTCACAGTGCGCTGTTTCATTCTTCTCCAACGCACCTGCAAGCCTCGGCTGCTTTTATTTGTTGTTTCTGTTACTATTCTTTCTTTCCTTTTGTTCTTATCACCACCACCACCATCATTTGTGATATCTTCCACCTCATTCTCTGGTCTTGGTTCTCTGGAACCATGAACGTCGCCTTGTTCTGAGACGCTCAGTGACTCAGCGCTCTGCACGTCACTTGCCTTGACATACGCACACACACTTGTTCTTTTGTTGTTGGCCTCTTCGGAGGCTCTTGTTGCCGCTGGCTCCTCTTGCCCTATTTGTTATCGCCATCATCGAAGTCTAGACAATCTCCCTCTCTCTCCCAATCACTGATCACCACCACCATGACCTCGAAACGCCATCACTCGCTGTTCATACTAATCATCCTTGGCTTAGCCCATCTTGCTGGGGTCTTCGGTGTTATGCCGACCAGACAGGTTCTTCAGGCATCCCAATCCCAACCTCCCCCACCCAAGTCAGTCGATCTCTGCGGGGGCAGCAAAGACATCGACCTGACTCCGCTTAGCAACTTTCGGTAAGCATCAACACGTCGTTTGACGTAGGCAACAGTTCTCATATTACCAACCACTTTTCCCTTTAGATCTCCCTGGAGTGTAGTAAAGAAGTTCAAGTCCTCGCAGACTGCGCACCAAATTGATATACTAACATGCCAAACATTCAACTCGCTGCCCAATATGGGCGAAATTCCAGTGAATTGCCAAAATAGCAGCATTTGCCACACCATTACCACTTCTTCCCAAGTTACGAAGTCGATTGGTGAGTCATTGATATGCTGGTGGTCGATAGCAACCACTACAAACTGCAAAGCCGATGCCGATATCAGCGTCGATTCGCTGAATCAGTGATTGATTTATTTATACAAAACACTACAATGATTGCATCTTTTTAACCAGGTTACGTTCCTGTTGGTGTTCAAAATGAATACAAAACCAACCTCGTCAGCTACGTCGGTTCAATGTGCGATGATAAGCTAAATTACACTATTGACATACGCTACATTTGCGGCAACAACCTTGTAAGTGGCGCAGTACTTCCTTGCTGCTACTGCTTCGTTTGCTCCAATTTTTACTGTGCTAATTATATCTCTCTCCTATGCATACTTCAGGGATATCCCACGTATCCGCCGACTTCAATCACGAATGCCTGCAAAACCATCTTGCATTGGGAAACGGCTGCCGCCTGCAAAGGCGCCGCCGCCACCTCAAAGGCTGACCTCTCCACCTTTGGCATCAACGAGAGTCCCTGCTACACCGTGGACAAGGTGGGCGGCAACCGCTACGACCTCAGCCCGCTCATTCGCCTCAACGGCAGCTACAAGGTCTGGTCGGCGGAGAACGGCACCGAGTTCTTCATCAACGTCTGCTCAGATGCCACGGACCGCTGCCGCCCGGGCTCCTCTGCCTGCTTCCGCAACGGCCTCGGCCAGATGGAGAGCATCGGCTCGTACNTCCGCAACAGCCTCGGCCAAATGGAAAGCATCGGCTCGTACAAGTGGTCGAGCATTGAGTTTCGGAAGGCGAGCGAGGCGGCCAAGCACGACTACGTCCAGCTGACGTACAAGGCGAAGAACGCCCTCTGCAACAGTCCTATCTCGACGACGTTGAACGAGTCCACGACGAACATTCGCTTCATCTGCCCCCGTCAGACGACCTCTCTGCACCGCTACCCGGTGCTGGTCTCCAGTCTGGACTGCCGCTACGAAATCGAGTGGGTCACCGACTACGCCTGCCCCCAGGAGGAGCTCTCCTTCCCCGAGAACAACTGCCTCATTGACGACACTGACCTGTCGCCGCTGCAGCGTAGTGCTCAGCCGTACGAGTTTAAGGACGTCAAGCGCCTGGACGGCTCCACCGTCAACATTTCGCTGAACGTCTGCGGCGGCGCCCTGCCCGCCGACAAGTGCAAGCTCGGCTCAGCGGTGTGCGTCATGAACGCCACCAGTCGAACGTCCTTCGCGCGGAAGAAGGCCACATTTATGAAGGCGGACAACCGCCTCAGCTTAAACTACGTCAGCGGCGGCGCTTCCTGCCAGAGCAAGGACGGCTTCAAGATGGAGCGAACGGTGGTGGAGTTTGAGTGTGATCCGACGGCTGCCACCAATGCGACCAGTCAGCCGGAACTGATTGAGGTGCAGGAGTGCTCGTACCTATTCAAGTGGCGCACCGCCCTCGTCTGTCCGCTGATCATGCCCTCGCTGCTGAACTGCACCTACGTCAACGAGCAGGCGGGCTTCCAGGTGGACCTCTCCTCGCTGATGCGACCGGACGGCTTCTACGAGGTGCAACGGTTCGGGCACGACCCTCGCCTCAAGTACCTCATCGCCAACTCGTCGCGAATTCTGCTGAACGTCTGCTCGAAGCTGCCGCTGCAGCAGACGGCAACCACCGCCAGCAACTTCAGCAAAGAGTGCGCCGGCGCTGCCGCCTGTCTGCTGGACGCCGGCAAGAAGGAGGCCACCAGTCTGGGGCACTTTCGCGAGCCAATTCAGTACGACCAGGTGCTGGGTGTTTTGACGCTGCGCTACACCGGCGGCAGCCAGGACCCGGTGACGAAGAAGCCACTGAGCACGGTGATCAACTTTCACTGCGCCCCCTGGTCGAAGAACAATGAGCCCTACCTGATTGACTACGACCAGGCGACCGGGCAGTACACCGTGGAGTACAACACACCGGCCGCCTGTCGCCTCTTCACCGCAAGGGGCACCGACTGCCAGGTGACCGACCCGGCCACCGGATTTCAGTACGACCTGAGGCCGCTCGCCTCTCGCAGCTTCTACTCCATCAAGACGGACCGCTACGATTTTGAGCTGAACGTCTGCCAGCCGGTGGTGGGCGGCTCGTGCGCCGGCGACACCGACCACGCCATCTGCCAGAAGGAGCACACCGGCGGCGGGCGTGCCTTTAGCCTAGGCCGGGCCACCACCGCCCTCTCCTACTGGAACACCATGCTCAACATGACCTTCATCGGGGGGACGCCGTACAATGACGAGCAGCGGACGCCGCGCCGCTCGCACATTAGCTTCATCTGCGACGAGAAGGCCGCCAATGGCTTTCCGGAGTTTGACGGCGAGCGCGACCGCGCCTACTTCTTTCGCTGGTACACCGCCCTCGCCTGTCCCCAGGCGCCGCCCAAGGTGACGCACTGCGTCTTTGAGAATGAGACGCACTTCTTTGACCTGTCGCCGCTCTCTCTGGACCGGGGGAATCACTTTGCCCTGAACGGGCAGTCGCTCACCATCGCCTACATCAACTTCTGCCGGCCGCTGAATCCCATTCGCGACAACCTGCTGAACCAGTGCAAACCGAACACGGGCATCTGTCTGGTGGACTTCCTGAAGAGCGAGGTCAGCCTGGGTGAGCCGCTCAGCCACCCCTTTCTCGGCTTTGACGGCACCATCTACATGCTCTACAACAACGGCGACCCTTGTCCGGCCAATCGCTCCCAACCGCTCTCCTCCAGCATCCAGCTGATCTGCTCGCCCGACCTCGAGGAGGACCTTACCATTGACTTCTTTGACCCGGTTAAGGGCGAGGAGTGCACGTACAACTTTGTGGTTCGTAGCCCCGTCGCCTGTCCGCGCGCCTTTCACGACACCGTCCTCCAGGACTGCGTCTACACCGACCGGCGGACGAATCTGTCGGCGGACCTGGGTGCCCTGACAAAGCCCCTGGGCGACTACGCCGTCTCTGGGGGCAACCCACAGACCACGTACAGTCTGAACATGTGCAAGGCGGTCAGCCAGCCGCCGAGCCCTCCTGCCCACGGCGAGTGCCAGGGGGCGGCCGTTTGTCTGCGCACCGCCAACAACAGCATCCTCAACTACGGGCGGGCGGACTCGATGAAGCTGTACCTGGAGGGCGGCAACCTCCACCTGCGCTACACCAATGGCAGTCGCTGTGACGACCAGGTGGACGGGCGGATGCGCGCCACCGACATTGAGTTTATCTGCGACGAGACGAAGCCCACAGATTCCTTGAACGCGCCCTCGCTCTACTACCAGAACCACTGCCTGGCGAAGTTTCAGTGGCGCACCGCCGCCGTCTGCAACCTGGTCATTCCCAGCTGCTCGCTGGTGGACGACACCAACGGCAACTACTACTCTCTGCGGCCGCTCGCCTCCATGTCGCACGCTTGGAACGTCTCCGCCACCTCCGGTGCCGACGAGTACTACCTGCTGAATGTGTGCAAGGCGCTGCCGCTGCACCACAACTGCAGCTCCTCGGCGGGCGCCTGCAAGTGCCGCGTGGTGGACCGGGCCACCGGCGAGGTGGACTGCTCCGCCAACCTGGGCAAGGTCTCCGACCACGAGCTGGCGCTCGATCCGCTCACGCACAACCTCGTGCTCACCTACGAGGGCGGCGACCGCCTCTGCAACGGCTCCGTCGCGCGGACGCAGATTCGCTTTCGCTGCAGCGCGACGGAGAGCGGCCACGGCGGGCCGAGGCTGATCAGCACCGAGGACTGTACCTTCCACTTTGTGTGGGACAGCATCTTCGCCTGCGCCATGCAGAACATCACCGCCAACTCGGTGCACCTCTCCATGGGCGGGCCGGGGGAGGAGGGGGACAGCCGGTACGTGGTACACGACACCGCTAGGCGGCTGCAGTGGAACCTGGCGCCGCTTTTCACCGTGGCCGTCAATGTGACGGAGAAGACACGCCAGGGACAGAACGGCAGCTTCACCTACGCCGTCGACCTGGGCCGACACAGCCACGAGCACCACCCGCGAACGGGCAACTGTGTCGAGGCGGCCATCTGTCAGGTGAAGCACGCGGACGGCTTCACCCGGGACATTGGCAGCTTCGGGAACATGAGCTTCAGCTTCGTCGGCGCCGACCTCTACCTGGTGCTGACCTCGGCCAGCTCAAAGTGCGGTCGAAAGCCGAGCAAGAATGTGAGCAGCAAGATTCGCTTCATCTGCAACTACGCCGCCGACCTCGGCTCGCCGCACTTTGTCTTTGAGAGTGAGGAGTGCGACTACTTCTTCACCTGGGAGACGGACGCCGTCTGTCAGCTGGTGGAGAACCGACCGATGCCCTCGCCCAACGATGGTGGCTCGTCCACCAAGCACTCGGGACTGTCCACCGGCTGGGTCGTTGGGCTGCTCTTTCTCTTTGCCCTGTGCGGCTTTGCCGGCTGGCTCTTTGTCTCCAGCGGCACTAAGCGGTTTGTCTGCAGTTGTTGTCTTTCTTTTCTGTTCTAATTATCTTTTTATTGTTCCTCCAGTGACGACGTCGTCTACCACATTCGAAGACTGTTTCGTCGAAATGAGACGCCTCAAATTCCCTTCCGCTACCAGCAGGTAATGTTCCACAGCTAACTTGCTCTATGTCTCTGTCTCTGTGTACACCAACCCATTCCTACCTCTTTGCTCTGCTCCCGCTCCTCAACTTCTTTTTTGAAACTCTTTATTTATTTTGCACGGTTTTTCCCGTAGTTGTCTATTTAAGTTGTTGCTTGAAGTCATCCGCCCCTTCTTCTCTCATATCAAGCCCCAGTTTCAAAAACAGTTTGTGCCCCTGGTCAAAAATCGCACTCTCCTTTTGAATTTCTCTCGTCTGCTCTCTCGTCATTGCATTTGAATCTTCGGAGTCTTGACACGTTTTTGGTGGAAGTCTCTTTTGCCTTTACCCTTCTCTTGTCTGTTCTCTTTTTGCTCTCTGTTTGGTTGATATAACTTGTCCCCACTCCTTCCACCAACTCCATTCATAATTGCCGCTCCTGTGATATAGTTTTCATCACTCAAAGCAGAAATGATATAGTTACTACCTGTTTAGCCGATGACCATGTACCTCTAGTCGGACTCTTCAGCAACCATAACCCGTCAACAATTAGATCACCCCAAAGTGTTTCTAATTTGCTCCCGCGTTTGCTGATGGCTTCAACAACCACACACATACACATTAACACTGAAGTTTTCATCATGTGTCNTTCCACCAACTCCATTCATAATTGCCGCTCCTGTGATATAGTTTTCATCACTCAAAGCAGAAATGATATAGTTACTACCTGTTTAGCCGATGACCATGTACCTCTAGTCGGACTCTTCAGCAACCATAACCCGTCAACAATTAGATCACCCCAAAGTGTTTCTAATTTNTTCCACCAACTCCATTCATAATTGCCGCTCCTGTGATATAGTTTTCATCATTCAAAGCAGAAATGATATAGTTACTACCTGTTTAGCCGATGACCATGTACCTCTAGTCGGACTCTTCAGCAAAAATAACCCGTCAACAATTAGATCACCCCAAAGTGTTTCTAATTCGCTCCCGCGTTTTCTGATGGCTTCAACAACCACACACATACACATTAACACTGAAGTTTTCATGTGTTTGTTTCCCGGCAAGTCATTTCTTCAGCCTTTGCTCTACCTTTCAAGCAAGAAAAAACTGTCTATCTCTACAATGTGATTCCAATGTTATGTTTCTGTTCTTTATTTATGAAAGCACATTTTATTTTATTATTACACCTCTACATTTCACACACAAACACACCGACACATTCTTTTCCATTATATAATTGATACTACTACTTTTGATACACCTAAAGCTATTGCAGCACAGCACACCACACACCACAATCATTTCATGTGATCATCACCTCTTTCTTTCTCTTTCTCACTTTGCCATTTGCCAACATCAACGCTGCAGCAGCCCATAGTTCAAAGCAGTTTCTCTCTATTTCTCTATTTTTCTTGGTACCATCTCCTCCATCACCAGTGAGAACAACCGAACTTGTTGTACATCTTTTTTATTGGTTTCAAATAAATGTGGAAATAATGACATTGCACTCACACAATTGTGAGTACATGTGCTTCTGACGGTAACTCATGTTCGGCGGTCATACGGCCATCACCGCCGCCGTTTCTGGTATGTGGGCAACGTCCAAAATCATGGACACTAACTAATGAGTTTTTCTTTCTTTTTTCCTTTTTTAAAAATGAAAAATAATGAAGAAGCCTCTCACTGGTGGAAGAGACTTGAGTTGATGAAAATGAAACGGTAAGTCTGGTTGTTGGGATTTTTTGGCAGCCAGAGTGGAAAGTGGCTGTGATAACATGGTAAATGGTTTCGGTCATTCGAAATTGAAGATAACCTGGCATTATCGGGTTTACTGCATCACCAAAATAATCTGACTTTGAACTGGTGACTCAGGAAAAGCATAATCTCATCCGAACGGGCGAGACAGTTTACTGGTGATCAAAACCTTGTTTGTCTGATTGATTACACACAAACTGCCGCCAAAAATGCCTTCCTCCTTCTTTATCCTCTTTCTCCCCACCGCTTTTCATTTTATTGAAACTAACGATGTGCAAGTTGGTTCTTTTTAGGCTCGATTTGCTGATTGGCTGACTCTAGGAAGAGAAGATTACCCCGGCTAAAAGTAGGTAATTGAGCGCCACCATTGCAAATGATGCTTAGTGCACCTCTCTGCACTGTATGACAACTGCTTTTGCCGGTGATCAATTGCTTCAAAGTGTGCAGAAACAGCAGCAGCAGCACACACATTACCCGCTGCTAAATCTGGTGCTTGACGGTCACTGGACTGCTCCAAAAATTGTTCTTAAACGCAGACCGTTTTGAAACAGTGTCTCTCTAGTTCTCATTTTTCTAAATTATCACTTGCCAAGTGTTGATCCACGGCGCATTTTTTTCGGCTGGCGAATTGCTTTTTTAATTTGTTTTTCTCCCTCGCTTTGCCTGCATGACATGTTACCTTTGTGTTGGTGCTATTGGTGCCCATGCAAAGGAGCGCACCGATAAATTTTGCTCCGTTGCCAGATCTTCAGTGCTCATTCGGTGAGAGTGTGAGAAGCTCTCTTCTTTTTTTCCTCTTCTTCAGCATCAATTATTGATTGTAATTTTGAAACAATTGCTTGCTTGGCAAGTTTATAAATATTTGATGGCCTCGCAGGCCATAACTAAAGTGGCCACAAACTGCTCTCTCTCTCTCATCTCACTTCATCCTGGTGTTTCGGTAGTGCTGCTGATCAGTGCTGATGATGATGATGCCGACAGGAGAACACCGACCACCACCACTGGAGGTGCTCGTGCCAGGTATTTTCCAGTGACTGGCAGCTAAGCTGTGTGGCTTTGCGCAATCATTTATTCATTCTCTTGATTTAATCTTTTTAATTTATCCCTTTTACTAATTCATTGATGGTATTATTCATCCTCTGTTTTTTGTGGTGACAGTAGAAAGTGGTGATGGACAAAGATGAAAGTTGTCGAGGGCACTGACACCTCCTCTTCTTTCTCCTACTACCTTTTCTCTGTACAGCAGCAGTCGGCACATCTCAATTTGACCAATGGCTGTGCCCTGGTCTGCACTTTTGGTCATCTCTACTGCTCATCAATCTTCATTTGTGTGTTTGTGTTTTGGCAAACAACAAACACACAAACATACACATCAGCAGCAGCAGCAGGTCGCCACTTTTGTTTTCTTGTTGGTTACTTCTCTCTAATTTTTCCCCTGCCACCCGACGGACAGCACGTTCTTGGCCGTTTTGGTGCTTTTAAATTCGTCATTTTCTCGCGCCGGAGAGGAAAGCAAGAAGAGAAAAGAAAAAGAAGAATCACCTAAAGGCGGAAAAATAAAGAATGAAAAACAGCATTGCTTGTACACGTACGTGTTTCACTGGGAGCAAAACTGGAAACTGCGTCGGCAGAAATAGCAGAAGCAGAAGTCACCGAGGCACCTTTTTCCTCTCTCTCTCTCTCTCTCTCTCTCTCTCTCTCTGGTGACCAATTTGCCCTCGTCTCCGAAGTACGACGACCTGACGATTAATGAAGAGAGTGAGGGAGGGAGAGACGGCAAAGTTTGAGGAGAAGAAGAGGAGGGCGACAGGAACTCTCAGCAGGGAACCGCAGTTGCTGTCTTTGTCAGTGGGCGAGCTTAACTCGATTACCACTGTCACAGCACTGATGACGATGTCAGCAGCAGCAGCCCCACTGCAGCAATCATTAACAAATTAATATACTCATAAACATAATCATAGCAGCCACTGCTGCTACTGCTGTTGGTGGTGGTTGCTTGCTCAAATCAGCAGAAAGCTGTTTGGCCGTTCTGCAGTGTAGCTCACTTTGGAATAAGATGATAACTACGACGACCACGACGATGATGATGATGATGACTGCAACTTTTTGCCCGCCAACTTTTCTCTGCCAGCCACTGACTGGGAAAAGCTGCTCCCCCGTCTCCTAAATTGATTCTGACCACTGAGAGTTGCACCAGCTCACCGGCGATGGCCTTGTGCTCCTTGTGTTCCTCGCCCAGTTGCATTATTGATGTCCAGCACACCAGCACCAGCACCGAAACTACGTGTGTCCACTTGACGAGCTGAATGCACTTGTGAGCGGCAGCATACGCTGTGACATTTGTCGAACAACGGTGACGTTGAGCCGTTTAACTGTCCGTTCAGCAACGCATTCAACGCCGCCACCGCCGCCGTCTGAGTCTGTAAAGTTTTTTCTACCTTTTATTCTTTTTACTTGTTCCCCTCTTTTTTGGTGGCAGACAGGACAGACAAAGTACAGGGCAAATGGGGGCTGACGGTGACGGTATCACTGACGACTGCACCGGTAAGCTTATGTTTCTGCTGCTGCTACCACTACTGAACTAGTAGTGTTGGACGCTCATTTGGCAAACTAATTACTTTTTTTTAAAGTTGTGTTTTCTTTTTTGTTGTTGTTGTTTTGTTGCTTATCTTTTTTCCCTTTTTTTCTTTTTTTTGTTTTTTCAGTGTTCACTGTGCTTTGGACAAATTGAAAGCGAATGCCACTCTGAAAAAAGTAGCGGTGGTGGTAGTAGAAGTGTGCCGTCCAGCACAGCATTTGCTCACTTTTTACACTCTCTCATTGACTTTACTGCTCCCACTCTCTCACTTTCTCTCACTCCCTGTCTGTTCCCCTGTTGGCCTCGCATAAATAATGCACCAGTTCGTATTTGGTCATTTCTTTCGGAAATTGCATGTTATCAATTCTTTATGACCTTGGTGCTATTATAATTAAGACTGAATTCACTTTACTTTCATAGTCCATTTATACTCGTTCTTTAATTGTACTCTCTCTATGTCTCTCTTTCTCTGTCCCTTTTTTCAATTGCGCTTTTACCCTTATTCTTGCTGGACAGGTGCTGCTGAAAGGTTGTCCCTCTAGCTGCAC